CATCAGAGGCTGGTATAGAGCCGGCTTGCGTACACCAGAGGCTGGTATAGAGCCAGCTTGGGTACACCCAGAGGCTGGTATAGAGCCAGCTTGGGTACACCCAGAGGCTGGTATAGAGCCAGCTTGGGTACACCCAGAGGCTGGTATAGAGCCAGCTTGGGTACACCCAGAGGCTGGTATAGAGCCGGCTTGAGCACACTAGAGGCTGGGGTAAAGTCAGGCTTTAGGGAACCCCCCCCCCCCAAGCCAGGGGCAGGGACAGACGCGGTCAAAGGGGAACAAGAGCCAGCCAATACCCCAGTAACCTTGACCGCCGCCAGGCTCCACACATCAGCTAATGGACCACAGCCATTCAAACATAACAGAACCTCCAGAGAAGAAAATTGAACCCACCAAACCCCCACAGAGGCAAGAACCCATCACACACACACACACACCAGGGGCCGCAGGGGGCCTGCCTGGTCCACACACACACCAGGGGCCGCAGGGGGCCCCGCCTGGTCCACACACACACCAGGGACCGCAGGGGGCCCGCCTGGTCCACACACACACACACCAGGGCCGCAGGGGGCCCGCCTGGTCCACACACACACACACCAGGGGCCGCAGGGGGCCCGCCTGGTCCACACACACACACACCAGGGGCCGCAGGGGGCCCGCCTGGTCCACACACACACACACCAGGGGCCGCAGGGGGCCCGCCTGGTCCACACACACACACCAGGGCCGCAGGGGGCCCGCCTGGTCCACACACACACACACACCAGGGGCCGCAGGGGGCCCGCCTGGTCCACACACACACACACACCAGGGCCGCAGGGGGCCCGCCTGGTCCTCACACACACACACACCAGGGCCGCAAGGGGCCCGCCTGGTCCACACACACACACACCAGGGCCGCAGGGGGCCCGCCTGGTCCACACACACACACACCAGGGGCCGCAGGGGGCCCGCCTGGTCCACACACACACCAGGGCCGCAGGGGGCCCGCCTGGTCCACACACACACACACCAGGGGCCGCAGGGGGCCCACCTGGTCCACACACACACACACCAGGGGCCGCAGGGGGCCCGCCTGGTCCACACACACACACACCAGGGGCCGCAGGGGGCCCGCCTGGTCCACACACACACACACACACCAGGGCCGCAGGGGGCCCCGCCTGGTCCACACACACACACACACCAGGGCCGCAGGGGGCCCGCCTGGTCCACACACACACACACACCAGGGCCGCAGGGGGCCCGCCTGGTCCACACACACACCAGGGGCCGCAGGGGGCCCGCCTGGTCCACACACACACACACCAGGGCCGCAGGGGGCCCCGCCTGGTCCACACACACACACACACCAGGGCCGCAGGGGGCCCGCCTGGTCCCCACACACACACACCAGGGCCGCAGGGGGCCCCGCCTGGTCCACACACACACACACCAGGGCCGCAGGGGGCCCGCCTGGTCCACACACACACACACCAGGGCCGCAGGGGGCCCCGCCTGGTCCACACACACACACACACACACACACACACCAGGGCCGCAGGGGGCCCCGCCTGGTCCACACACACACACACACACACACCAGGGCCGCAGGGGGCCCGCCTGGTCCACACACACACACACCAGGGCCGCAGGGGGCCCCGCCTGGTCCACACACACACACACCAGGGCCGCAGGGGGCCCGCCTGGTCCACACACACACACACCAGGGGCCGCAGGGGGCCCGCCTGGTCCACACACACACACACACACACCAGGGCCGCAGGGGGCCCGCCTGGTCCACACACACACACACCAGGGGCCGCAGGGGGCCCGCCTGGTCCACACACACACACACCAGGGGCCGCAGGGGGCCCGCCTGGTCCACACACACACACCAGGGCCGCAGGGGGCCCGCCTGGTCCACACACACAACACCTACCCTGAATGGCCATCCATAATCACCCAACTACTCACCATCTTTGGGCTTTGTTCCATGTTTCGTTAACTTATATATTATAATGTAGAGCCTAACTGTGTGAGGAACCTGCCTTAGACTCGCTAATCAGCTTCTTAATCATTTAGAAGACTCTGAAGCAGTTTGGTGCGAGACAAACGACCCTTAGTAACTTACCAGGGAGCCGACGAGTCCATCCTCCACACAATATATTTGGGGAAAATTATTCTAATGAAAATGAACATGAACAGCCTCTCAGCCGAGGCTGTGTGGCGGAGGAGCGGGACGGGCGACGTGTCACCCCTCCAGCGGTCAGCACGGCACTGATTGTTTCTCCTGATAATGTCCAGTTGCCACAGTCCCGTGAGCCCTCTGGCGGCCACTCGCCCAACCTCACGCCTGGACCGGGATTCACGAAGCAGTTACGCAAGCACTTACGAACCATCTTTCCTCAATCTGTGGCGGCTTTGGTTACATTAAACAGTTTACAAGCATGAAAACTTGCCAATCAATTGTTGTTATTGTTATAAACAGCCTCCTGGTGCTTCCGAGCTCATTAACTGTTTAATAATTGTAAACTAAGCCGCCAAAGATTGAGAAAAGTTGGACAGGTTTGTAAGTGCTTGCGTAACTGCTTCGTGAATCTGTCCCCAGGTTCGTAAGCGCTTGCGTAACTGCTTCGTGAATCTGAGTCCAGGGTTCACCCGTGTCATCTACACACCTGGAGGTTCACCCGTGTCATCTACACACCTGGAGGTTCACCTGTGTCATCTACACACCTGGGGGCACACCTGTGTCATCTACACACCTGGGGGCACACCTGTGTCATCTCCACACCTGGAGGCACACATGTGTCATCTACACACCTGGAGGTTCACCTGTGTCATCTCCACACCTGGAGGTTCACCTGTGTCATCTCCACACCTGGAGGCACACCTGTGTCATCTACACACCTGGGGGCACACCTGTGTCATCTACACACCTGGAGGGACACCTGTGTCATCTACACACCTGGAGGTTCACCTGTGTCATCTACACACCTGGAGGTTCACCTGTGTCATCTACACACCTGGAGGTTCACCTGTGTCATCTACACACCTGGAGGTTCACCTGTGTCATCTACACACCTGGAGGTGTATCATCTCCACACCTGGAGGTTCACCTGTGTCATCTACACACCTGGAGGTTCACCTGTGTCATCTACACACCTGGAGGTTCACCTGTGTCATCTACACACCTGGAGGTTCACCTGTGTCATCTACACACCTGGAGGGACACCTGTGTCATCTACACACCTGGAGGTTCACCTGTCTCATCTACACACCTGGGGGTTCACCTGTGTCATTTACACACCTGGGGGCACACCTGTGTCATCTCCACACCTGGAGGCACACCTGTGTCATCTACACACCTGGAGGTTCACCTGTGTCATCTACACACCTGGGGCACACCTGTGTCATCTACACACCTGGGGGCACACCTGTGTCATCTCCACACCTGGAGGCTCACCTGTGTCATCTACACACCTGGGGCTCACTTGTGTCATCTCCACACCTGGGGGCACACCTGTGTCATCTATACACCTGTGTCATCTACACACCTGGGGTTCACCTGTGTCATCTACACACCTGGAGGGACACCTGTGTCATCTACACACCTGGAGGGACACCTGTGTCATCTACACACCTGGGGGCTCACCTGTGTCATCTCCAGAGGTACACAGGTGCTTGACAGCTGAGTGGACTGCACTTTAGATTCGTAGTCTTGAGGTTTCAGGTTCGATCCCCGGTGGAGGCGGAGACAAATGGGCAAAAAGTTTCTTACACTCTGATGTCCCTGTTCACCTAGCAGTAAATAGGTACCTGGGAGTTAGTCAGCTGCTATGGGCTGCTTTCTGGGGATGTGTAACAAAATGGAGGGCTGGTCAAGGACCGGGCCGAGGGGACGCTAAGCCCCGAAATCATCTCGAGATAAGCTCAAGACAGGCCTCAAGTCCATCACCAAATCGTAAGTCCTACACCAAATCCTAACCACGCAAGTGCTCAGGGGCCAGATACATGAAAGCAGTTACACAAGCACTTACGAACCTGTGCATCTTTTTTTCAATCTTTGGCGGCTTTGTTTACAATTATTAAACAGTTAATGAGCGCCAAAGCACCAGGAGGCTGTTTATAACAATAACAACAATTGATTGGCAAGTTTTCATGCTTGTAAACTGTTTAATAAATGTAACCAAAGCCGTCAAAGATTGTGGAAAGATGTACACGTTCGTAAGTGCTTGCGTAACCACTTCGTGAATCTGGCCCCAGGAACGCGCTCAGCAGTGGAAGGGTTATGAGTGGGATTGGGTGGTTATAGAATAGGAGCTGCCTCGTATGGGCCAATAGGCCTTCTGCAGTTACCTTTGTTCTTATGTTCTTATGTTCTTATGTTATAAGGTGGCCGCCTCCATGTATGACCTTCCCAGCGGGAGTTTAGTCACATAACTGCACCACTGTAAACAACTGTAGATCCTTTTATTCAGTCCACTCTACAGTTTCTCGTTAGGAATGAACCATGCGATGGATTTAATGCTTAAGACTCCCCTTGTGTGTACCATGAAAACGATATCGTGGCTATAATTCAATTATTTCAGAATTACAATGGGTAGATACAGAAAAATGGGCACAAAAAATGTGGCGAATGATACAGAAAGTGGGTATATGATACAGAAAATAGATAGATGCACCAAATTAGGTAGGTTCAGAAAAAGGGTAGATATACAAAATGGGTAAATACAGAAAATGGGTAGGTACAGAAAATGGGAATACAGAGAGAATGAGTATATTAAGAAAGAAGGGTAAACTATTCAAAAGATAAATATGTAACACAACATACCTTTACGGCAGGTGAGGTCTGCTCACCCTCTCTACAGTTGTCATGACTTCAGGCAAACGTATATTATTATGGAACTTCCAAAATGTTAAATAATCATATTAGAGAGGCATTGTTAACATTAATAAACATTCGTCTAACAGTCAGATCAGAGATAATTGACCTCCTCCAAGTTAATTAACATATTTACCTGTTGACTGTCAAGGGAGAAGGACCTCTGGCGCTGGAAAGTGACCTCACTGGACTTGACAACAGCAGAATGTCTCCTCTTGTAGGCGAGCTTGTCTCTGGTGGCGGCGGCGTTGTCAGTCACCCCCGGCACCCACGACACCCGCCTCGTCGTCGTCGTCTCCTTCCTCGCCTCCTTCATCTTCTCGTCCTTGTCGCGCTGCTCCCTCAAGATGTCCCTCCTGGAGTCGTCCTTGATGATGCTCCTGCCCTCGACGCCAGCAGGAGACCTGGTCTTGTCCTTGGTCTTGTCGTGGTTCCCTGCGGGGGCGCTTCTCCACGCCACGAAGTCACTCACTAACGCTATTCTAGATTTGTCTTCAGTGACATTGGTCCCATTTTTGTGAGATTTGGCATTGGTTAGTTGCTTCTTGTTACTGTCTATTCTGCCGTCTGTCCTAACGTCTAGGTTAAAGTCTAGCCTACTGTCTCTCTTGACGCCTGTGGGCGTGAAGAGCGGCGGGGCACTGCCAGGGTGCCAGTTTGGGCCGTCGTCGGCTGCCCCGTACCCATACCCGGTACTGTGACCAGTACTGGCGGAGCTACTGTGACCAGCACTGCCGCCGCCGCCGCCAGCAACTGACCTCGACAACTCTGGGGTGCGCATCGCCGCGCGCACTTTGTTACGATCCTCCTCCATGCGCACCATGTCTCCGATGAGTGCGCTCTGCTGTGCCTGCTGGAGTTGGATCATTTGGTAGCGTTGGAAGGTGTGAGGCCTGAGGCGCACCTCTGGCTCAGAGTAGGGTATGGGCGGGGGCACGAAGTGTAGCGGAGACGCCGTCCTGGGCGAGGGTGCCCTGGGGCTGCCCCTGTCGCCCCCTGCCAGAGGAGACGACGGGCGAGAAGAGATAGAACGAGGAGAACCCGAGCGGGGAGATGCCCTGGGGGAGCCCCGGGGAGACGCCCTCGGGGATACCCGTGGGGAACCGCGCGGAGACGCCCTTGGAGAGCAGCGCGGCGAAGGAGACCCCATTAGGGAACCGTGCGCAGTGTTGAGACTCCTCCTGTCGGCACTGTGCGCACTGTGCACGCTGGTGGGCGAGGCACGGGGCGACAGGCGTGCCCGGGCACTGGGGAAGGTGCCCACACAGCCCCCGACCACAGCCCCCACACACCCGCCGCCGCCCACAGGTGCCCCACACCCGCCGCCCATGCTGACCAACCCGCCACGGTTGGGCTCGACACCGTAGCGCAGCAGGAGTCTGACCACGTCAGCGGCACCGTAGTCCACGGCCAGGTGCAGGGCATTGGTGAAGACCCCGGGCACTGTGTTGTCTGTGTTGTCACTGCTGCCCTCACTGCGGTGGTCGTACCTGCTGGAGACAACAGTCACTATGGTCGTACCTGCCGGGGATAACAGTTACTATGGTCGAGTAGTGTAAATTAGGACGTAGACCGGGCATGACACCTAGGACAGGTGTGCCAGGTAAGGCACACCTGTCCAGGTGAGCATGGAAGGGGGGGGGGGGGCTGTCTCAAGGGGTAAGAGGCGTCCCGCTCGCCCGGTGCACGTCCTCATGTGTGTTTAATGTGGTGTATGGTTAGTATAGGGTGAGTATGGGAGCAGGCGTGTGTATGTTGAAGGGAAAGGTGAGTGTTGTCAGTGTATGTTTAGCAAGCGTAGAGTTGTAGAGGTGAGCATGTATGCTTAGAGAGAGTGTTAAGCATGTGGCCTCTAGAGTTAAGCATGGGAGGGCAGGAGATCTAAGCATGTGTCACGCCCCATTCTGACTCGAAGGCACACCGTGGGAGTAAGAGGGACAGGAGCGGGCGAGCGGATACCCGGGTGATGCTCGCGTGTGACCAAGTGTGCTCACCTAGTTGTACTTACCGGGTGTTATCAGCTGTCCCTCACACAGCCTCGGAGAGTTAAAACCACACATCAACCCAAGGACCTTCGTCGAGGTCTTCCCTACCTCAGGCCTCCAACAGATCAAACGCAGTTACCAGTCATTACACACGCGCACACACACGTGTCAATGTGAGGGGAAGGAGCGTAGTGAGCCGCTTGAGGCATTACCCTTGCCTCCAGCCCACCATAGTGTCACCACAACACCCAGTAGCAAGCCTCCCTCACCTGTCACTGAACTTAAACATTACGTCTCGGAGGAGATCTGGTGCAGTTTTCTTCATATCTTCCTTCACGCCGGTGAAGTAGACTCTCACCGGGAGGGAGGATGTGGTCTGTTACCCTAACTGTTTAAGTCAAGTGTGGACCCACGTCCTGACATCTTCATTATCCTGACCATGTGACGGTAGTGAGATGTATGGGGTAATGGCCCCCCTTCTCTCTCTCTCTCTCTCTCTCTCTCTCTCTCTCTCTCTCTCTCTCTCTCTCTCTCTCTCTCTCTCTCTCTCTCTCTCTCTCTCTCTCTCTCTCTCTTTCGCTCCTTTCCTCTCTTTCGCTCCTTCCTCTTTTTCGCTCCTTCCTCTCTCTATCTCCATCCTCTCGCTCTCTC